CAACCTATAGCGACTTTATGCACAACAGAATGAAACACTGCCTGATCCTTGGCCAACCTCACTATTGTTGCCATGCTTGAGTCCAGTGATGCTGCCACCTGGCCAATCCATCTCGTTGGGGGTTGTCCTCTTTTTCTCTGACCCTCCACCTTAGCAAACATGATATCCTTCTCCAGCAACTGGTCCCTCCTGATAATATGTCTGAAGTATGAGAGACAACGTTTGGCCATCCTAGCCTCCAAGGAGCACTCTGACTGCACTTCTTACACTGATCTCTTTGTTCTTTTGGCAGCCCATAGCACTGTGAATAATATTCTCCTCCAACACCATAACTCAAAAGCATCAATTCTTCTACGATCTTCCTTATTCACTGTCCAGCTTTCACATGCATATGAGGTTATTGAAAACACCATGGCTTGGGTCACGTGCACCTTAGTCCTCAAGCTGACATCTTGCTCTTCAACACTTTAAAAAGGTATTGTGCAGCAGATTTGCCTAATGCAATACATCGTTTGATTTCTTGACTGCTGCTTCCATGAGTGTTGATAGTTGTTCCAAGAAGGATGAAATCCTTGACAAATTCAGTCTTTTCTCCATTGATAAGAATGCTGTTTATTGGTCCAGTGGTGAGGATTTTTGTTTTCTTTACATTGAGATGTAATCCATATGGAAGGCTGTGCTCTTTGATCTTCATCAGTAAATGGTTTAAGTCCTCTTCAGTTTCAGCAAGCAAGGTTGTATCATCTACATATTGCAGGTTGTTAATGAGTCTTCTTCCAATCCTGATGCCACGTTTTTCTTCATATAAGCCAGCTTCTTGGATTATTTGCTCAACATACAGGTTGAATAAGTATGGTGAAAGAATACAACCCTGTCGCACACGTTTCTTCCATGGTATATTCAATATTCTTTACCAACACCATAATTCAAATATGTTCTTCTCTTACAATCCTTTACCATGTACAAGGGTGTTTCAGAATATTAATGGAAAAGTTCCATTATCTTTAATTCCATGTTTCCAGCTTTTTGGAACCCCCTTATACATTGAGGCAATTGAAAATACCATGACTTGGGTCCTTTGTCCTCAAAGTTCTCAGAAAACTAGAAATAATAAAGTCTTATCATTTTTTTCTACCCCTTGAATGTTAACAGTGTATATTTAGTATAATATATAAAATAAAACAAAAATACTCACAACTGGACCATAAATGTTGTTGTTAAGTGCCATTGAGTCGGTTCCGACCCATAGTGACCCTGTATAGGGTTTTCAAGGAGCAGCTGGTGAACTTAAATTGTCTTCCTTGCAGTTCAAACAGCTTTGCAGCCTGATGCATTAACCCATATCGCCACACCAGGACTCCTGGACCATAAATAAGATCATGGTAAATGGAGAAAAGATTGAAGTTGTGAAATACTTCATTTTGCTTGGATCCACTACCAAATCTCATGGAAGCAGCTGTCAAGAAATCAAATGACGTATTGGATTGGGCAGATCAGCTCTTTAAAGTTTTCAAGAGCAACGGTGTTAGTTTGAAGGCTAAGGTGTGCCTGACCCAAGCCTCATATGCATGTGAAAGTTGAACAGTGACTAAGGAAGACAAGGGAATTGATGCATTTGAGATATGGTGTTGGAGAAGAATTCAGGTGCCGTGGACTGCCAGAAGAACAAAACAGATCTGTGTTGGAAGAAGTACAGCTAAAATGCTTCTTTGAAACCTGGACAGTGAGACTTCTTGTATACTTCGGCTGTATTATCAGGAGGGACCAATCCTCCTGGAGAGGGACATCATGCTTGGTAGGGACATCAAATGGAGGGTCTTTGAAAAAAAGCCAGATCCCCAGGAAGATGGATTGGCACAGTGGCAGCAGCAGTGGGCTCAGTCATAGCAACAAATGTGAGGATGGCACAGGACTGGGCAGTGTTTTTTTCTGTTATACCTAGGCTTGCTAGGAGGTAGGACCAACTGGATGGCAACTAACAACACCACCAACAGTAAATGTAGGTAATGAAAATTGAAACACCTCCTCTTCAGTGAGTATTATGTTAATAAGCAATCATGGCTTCCTCTACTGGTGACCGCCTCATTCTTCTGCTTGCTGCTTTCTGGATTTCATTCCATTCTTATATCTAGCATGTCATTTTTAAGGTAACACTGAGATTACTTTGTAAGGGAATGCAAACAAACTGTCTCATTCTTAGAATCATGGAACCATCCCTAAAATTTAAGTTCAGTTTACATGCCAAAATCCTTGGCGGTAAGGAGAAAGTACAACATTTACCAGTTGGATTGGTGACTCTGGATTCTTTTGACAGTTGAAGTACTTGATAAATTAATCTCTCCTAAGATTAAGTCACCAACCTTCCCAAAATACTGATGTTGTTAAGTGACATAGATTAGTTTCTAACTCAAAGTAACACTATGTATAATAGAATAAAACACTACCTGGTCCTGTGATACCCTCAACTGGTGGGCAATATTTACTAAAGTAAAACATATGCCCATTCACTTCTGTGTGTTGTTCGGTGCCATCAAGTCAGTTCTGACTCATAGTGACCTTATGCACAAGACAATAAAGCGCTACCTGGTCCTGCGCAATCCTCACAATTCTTGTTACACTTGAGTTCATTACTGATGCTACTGTGCCAATCCATCTTGTTAGGGTTCTTCCTCTTTTACACTGACCCTCCACTTTACCAACTGTGATGTCCTTCTCCTGACACTGGTCCGTCCTGATAACATCTATAAAGTATGAAAGATGAAGTCCCGTCATCCAGATTTGAATGTTCTTCTGACAGTCCATGATATTTTTAATGTTCTTCTACAATGCCATAATTCAAATGCATTGATTCTTTTATGGTCTTCCTTATTAAGTGTCCAACTTTCACATGCACATGAGGCAATGGAAAATAACCATCATTTGGGGCAGACGCACCTTAATCCTCTAACTAATATCTTTGCTCTTGAACATTTTATAGAGGTCTTTTGCAGAAGATTCGCCTATTACAATACATCATTTTATTTCTTGATGGCTACTTTCATGGTATTCATTGTGGATCCAAGCAAAATGAAGTCTTTGACAACCTCAAGCTTTTCTCCATTTATTAAGATGTTATTTATTGGCCCAGTTGTAAGGATTTTCCTTTATATTGGGGCGCAATCCATACAGAAGGCTGTAGTCTTTGATTCATTAGTAAATATTTTAAGTCCTCTTTGCTTCTAGCAAACAAGGTGGTGTTGTTTGTTGTCAGGTGCCATCGAGTCGGAACCGACTCATAGTGACCCCATGCACAGCAGAACGAAACAATGTCAGATCCTGGGCCAACCTCACTACCGCTGCCACACTTGAGTCCATCAATGATGCCACCTGGCCAATCCATCTCGTTGGGGGTCTTCCTCTATTTCTCTGACCCTCCACCTTACCCAGAATGACATCCTTCTCCAGCAACTATTCCCTCCAGACAATATGTCTAAAGTATGAGAGACAAAGCTTAGCCATTTGGCTCCAAGGAGCACTCTGGCTGCACTTCTTCCAAAACAGATCTATTGGTTCTTTTGGCAGTCCATGGCACTTTCAGTATTCTCCTCCAACACCACAACTCAAAGGCATCAATTCTTCTACGATCTTCCTTACTCAGTGTCCAGTTTTCGCATCCATATGAGGTTATTGAAAATACCATAGCTTGGGTCAGGTGTACCTTAGTCCTCAAGCTGACATCTCTGTTCTTCAATACTTCAAAAAGTTCCTGTGCAGCAGATTTGCCCAATGCAATACATCGTCTGATCGCTTGACTGCTGCTTCTGCAAGTGTTGATAGTTGATCCAAGAAGAATGAAGTCCTTGACAACTTCAATCTTTTCTCCATTGATAAGAATGCTGTTATTGGTCCAGTGGTGAGGATTTTTGTTTTCTTGACATTGAGATGCAATCCGTAACAAAGGCTGTGCTCTTTGATCTTCATCAGTAAATGTTTCAAATCCTCTTCACTTTAAGCAAGCAAGGTTGTATCATCTGCATATCGCAGGTTGTTAATGAGTCTTCCTCCAATCCTGACGCCACGTTTTTCATAGAACCCAGCTTCTCGTATTATTTGCTCAGCATACATATTGAATAAGTATGGTGAAAGAACACAACCTTGTCGCACAACTTTCCCAATTTTAAACCATTCAGTGTTCCCCTGCTCTGTTCGAACAACTGCTTCTTGTTCCAGGTACAGATTTCTCAGAAGTACAATTAAGTGTTCTGGAATACTCATACTTCTCAGTGTTGTCCATAGCTTGTCATGATCCACACAATTGAAAGCCTTCGCGTAGTCAGTAAAGCATAGGTAAACATCCTTCTGGTATTCTCTGCTTTCAGAAACAAGGTGTATCATATTCATATTGCAAATTTGTAATGAGTTGTCCTCCAACTCTGCTTTTGAGGAAACATCTCTTTCCCACTTGTGTTTTGAGTGCCTTCCAACTTGAGGTGTTCGTCTTTGACACTGTATCTGAATATGTTTTGTTGCTGTTCTTAGGTTTTCAGTGCCTAACTATTCAGACATAGTCTGTGTCTCCTTCTTCCTAGTCTGTCATAGTTTGAAAGCCCCACTGTTACTTGGTCACCATGGATCACCTGTCTGGTCATCACCATCTATTACAGTATGACATACTGACAGACAAAGTGATGTGCTTCTCAATATAGATATATAAAATTGGAAGTCAGTGATAGCATTTATAGTATTAAAAAGTTCTTTTTTTCTTTTGGTTTATTAACAAATCAGTCTTTTAAGTTTGGAAGTTTTTTATGTGTATTTTTTTCCATGCTTATAAAATGAATATATCGCCTGTGTAATAAACTTTAGATATTTTAAAGTAGTAAATATTTGCTGTTGTACAAAGCTTTGGATGGACGTATGAACTGTGTTCTGGGAAGAAAGCATTTAAGGAAACTACTTGTTGACTTGAAATAATGTCTTCCCTTATATTTATCTTAATGATAGTTTTTTTTTCCTTTCAGAGAAAGCCCGGGCAGAAGCTGGGTCAGCAAGAACGTCACTCCTTATATTGGTGTCCATTTTCTTATCTGCAGCTTTTGTTATGTTTCTGGTATATAAAAATTTTCCCCAGCTTAGTGAGTAAGTATAATGAAAGAGACACTGATCATTTCTAGACATTTATAGATATATAAAAGTGGGTAAAAATTAAAAACTTAAGCTTATTGTTAAACAACACAACTGTCATGGTGATTGTGTGTCATTATCATGGTTTGTAGCAACGCCATCTATGTACTTTTGTTTGAAGACTTCTTTCTAAATAAGCGTTTTGGCTCTCTGTGAGATTTTTCATTAATTTCTCTTCTTACCACATTCCTGTTTCTTAGCTCTTTTTCTTTTCCCTGTTTTCCCAAATGATGTGGTCTGAATAGGTACTTTTCATATTGAAGTTGACTGTGTAGAAGATATATATTTTGTACAGGTCCGCAATTTCTTAACCAAGGCATTAGAGTAAAATGTGTTTCAGAATTTAGCATTTTCCAGTTTGGAAAGGTAACGTGAAATTGTTGTTGTTGTTAAGTGTTATTGAGTCAGTTCCGACCCATAGGGTTTCTTAGGAGCGGCTGGTGACCTTGAACTGCCAACCTTGCAGCTCTAACTAACCTTGCAGTCCAGTGTACTAACCCATAGCGCCACACCAGGACTCCTATAAATTATCTCCATATAAATTATGTAATACCTCCAGTAGGGTCAGGAGCAACATCCAATTATCAAATATATAAATATTTTTATAGCAAACCAGCATAATAACACTAAATAAAAAATTGAAAGACTATAGATATTTTTAAACAAATTTGACTCAATTATGCTGACAAATACAATACAGAAATCTTTGAAATTACATCTCACAAGCTATCCATTTGATTTTCATATCAGGCTGGCCCTGGATTACATGAGGGACTACTGGAATATAGTTAGACTTTCTACCAGGGCCAACTTAATATGAAAATCAAATGGATAGCTGTGAGATGTAATTTCAAAGTACCAGAAGATTCCTGTTGCTTCTTCTTAATTATTTTCCTTCACTATTCTTTATGCTTAAATGTAATAGTTAAAAAACTTTAGTTATTTTGATTTTAAAGTGTTGATTTCTTGTATAGATGTAATTGCTCCTTAGAAATGTTGGTAGTGCTAGTGCTGTCAGGTCAGTTCCAACTCTTAGTGACCCTGTATTAGATTTTCCAGGAACTATTGTTAGTAGTCCAGTGCTTCTCTTACAGTGCTACAACAGTTATTATTGAGCCAGTTCCAACGGATAGCAACTCTATAGGACAAAATAGAACTGCCCTGTTGTTGTTGTTGTTAAGTGCCATCGAGTCGGGTCCGACCCATAGCGACCCTGTACAGGGTTTCCGAGGGTGTAAATCTTTACGGGAGTAGAAAGCCTCATCTTTCTCCCGCGGAGCGGCTGGTAGTTTCGAACCGCTGACCTTAAGGCTCGCAGCCCGATTCGTAACCACTACGCTACCAGAACTGCCCTAGGGTATCATTTTTATGGGAATAAATGACCGTGTTCTTTTTTCAGCGCAGAGCTACTGGTAGGTTCAAATCACCCACTTTTTTGTTAGCAGCTGAGTGTTTAACCATTGTGCCAATTTGTTAGTTATTATTAGTATGAATGAATGTAGATATTTTCTGTTGTTGATCGGGGAGTAAGGAATTGAGAGCTACTTGATAGTGGGAAAGTATACAGACTATAGATTAAGGTTGTCTTTGCTTCTAACCTGCTCTGAGAATTAATGTACTTTGATATTCTGTTTCTTTCTCTCTGTATAAATTTATGTCTATATATGTATGTGTGCATATGTATGCAGGTGTCTGGGCACACTGAGTTTTAAATTGTTGAAATGAGAAAAGCTAGTTTCGCTCATCACCAATTTTATGGAAAGTAGCAATCTATCACTGTTTCGCAGTGTCAGTTAAATTTCATTGTATGACCATACGGGCATACTGTATGCAAATACAAAGATGGTCGGATATGATTATTTAAAGCTTTTATAAGCAACTGTTCATTTCCAAACAAGGCAATTTAAAGGAGACTTCATAGAGAAAAGTTACTTTTTTTGTGAACTTTGAATTGGGATATTCCAGAAAAAGGGTATAAACTTGTGAATTCTTTTTAAATTTTACTTAATTTTAGTTGAAATTGATTATTGACTATAACTTACAAAGATTACCCAAAATGATGTTAAGTGTGTTTTTAATATTCTGGCATCAGTGATTGTAGCTTGTATTTAATTTAAAATATAAACTGATATTGCAGTATTCCTTTTAACCTGTAGGTTGACTCATTCTGAACTTTCATATATAGATTAGATGTTTCATGAAATTTTTAATTAAAATGTTTAAAATTAAATCATTTATAAACCTTTTAACTTAAAAACTATCAATTTAAATATTAATATCAAGACATCAAATCATTTTGGATAAAATTTCATATTTTGAACTTGACTTTGTTATTATCTTGCAGAAATTCTGTTTTAAAATTTTATACTTTAATTTTCTTTCTTTAGAGAAGAAAGAGTAACCATGAAGGTTCCCAGAGATATGGATGACGCCAAGGCTCTAGGAAAAGTTTTGTCCAAATATAAGGACACCTTTTATGTACAAGTACTTGTAGCTTATTTTGCTACGTATATATTGTATCCTTTTAGCCAAAAAAATATTTTCTAGTTTTGTTCAAGAAAAAGTTTTTAAAAGGTCTACTTGACTTTTAAGAAATTGTTAATGCAGTATATATAACAAGATTAAATAAAACCTCAGAAAATTAAATTGGAAAAATTCTATCTACTTAATTAAAGTAATTATATATGCATATATTTGTTAGCATTTGTTTTAATTTTGCTTATTTGTAAGCATTTTCTTTCTCTATTCTATTCAAAGTAATTATTTTGAATGAATAGTCTCCATGTCATAATTTTAAATCATGTTGTTACTTTTGGAGATATATATTTCTAACTTTTTTGTTTTAATAGATACTGTGTTACAAATCTCATGGTTCATATGCTTTGTATCTTCCAATCAGTTGTTTCCTTTGGGAAAATTCCTGAGACAAGAATTGTTGGTACAAAGAATATGAATGTTTCTTAAAATCCTTAGTACGTGTTTCTTTGCTTTATAATAAACATAAGTTGTACTTAAAATAACCTTATTCTTTCTGCATATTTTTAAACTGCATATGCTATTGGTGATTATCTTCCAATCTGTTAGATAGCTATTAAATTTTGGTTTTATCTTTTTATTTCAATCCTACCTTATTTTGCAAAAGACATTACCTCTTCATATTGTGAAAGTAATCATCATATTTTTAAAACCAGCTTTTACTTTAAAAAGACAAATTAGTTACTTTGTTAATTCACTCAAAGTGTATTCCTGAATTTCTTTTGCTTTGTGAGCTTTATGATTAAAACTTTTTCTCCTATAAATTTCTGTAATAGCATTTTAATTTCTTGGGTGTCAGTTGGAATATATGGGGACTTCAAAAAAATTTATGGAAAATAGAATTATATTTGGGTGATTTTTGAAGCCATGGAAATCACTGAATTTATCAGAGGAAAGGGAGAAGAATATGTCTCACAGAATGTTGCGGGTGAGAGAGAAAAAACTTAACATGAAATTATATGTAATTAGAAGAAATTTGAAAGTGCCATGGGCTGCCAAAAGAACAACTAGATTTTTTTTGGAAGAAGTGCAGCCAGAGTGCTCCTTGGAGGCCAGGATGGCCAAACTTCGTCTCTCATACTTCTGACATATTGTTAGGAGGGACCAGTCACTGGAGAAGGATATCATGTTTGGTAAGGTGGAGGGTCAGAGAAAAAGAGGGAGACCCCCAGTGAGATGGATTCACAAAGTGGCAGCATCAGTGGGCTCAAGGGTGGCAACAATTGTGAGGTTGGCCCAGGACCAGGCAGTGTTTTGTTCTGTTGTGCATAGGGTCACTATGAGTTGGTATTGACTAGATGGCACCTAACAAAAACAGAAGAAGAAAAGTACAGCTGCCTGAGTTTCTTGCAAGAGGTCTTATCTTATGCAAAATCATTATAGGAGCAAACATCCTGTTGCAAGAAACAAACAAAAAAGCCCCATTGATTTTGGTCAGGAGGAAATTCAAATAGAATGGTGGGATAGGTAAGCTTACTGCAAGGGGTCAAGAAGAAACTCTAATAGTGAGAAAGTGAAGATGAGAAGTTGAATAGGATACCTGCGTGAGGAAAGCCTAGATTTTTATTCTAGTTTGCAGATATCTTGAGTGGTTTTGTACAGGAGGAATCCTGTGAAAGAGCAAGAAGTGAAAGGTGAAAGAAAGAACCCAAGGGAAGGAGGAGATTGAAATGAGGACATAAGTAAAGGAAACTCTGACTCGTAAATACTCAAATTAAGAGGTTTACTGATAAGAAATTAATGACTTCATATTTTTTAAAAACTTGTATGTAATTTTGTCTTATTTTTTAATACTGAAATTGTTTGACTTATCTTTTCTTTTTAAAAATTCCATTTAATTATGTTTTCATCCTTAACTTAGAAGTTAACAGTTTGCAGACGTTTGCTATTCCAGGCTCTATATTTCTCAGCATCCTCTCAGGGTTTCTTTATCCCTTTCCACTAGCCTTATTTCTTGTTTGTTTGGTAAGTATATAAAATAAAACTGGGAGATTGGACAAAAATAGCTTTAAATGGAATGGCAATGATGATGATCTTAGTCCCACTAATCTGTTAGTATAAGCTGCTTAATTTAAATAGGAAATTAATATTAGAGTAGTAGTTGTTGTTGAATCAGGTCTAACTCATAGCAACCTTGTATAGAGTTTCCAAGGAGTGGCTGATGAATGTGAACTGCCAGCCATGCGGTTCAGTGCTTATCCTGTAATGCCACACCAGGACTCTTAAGGTTTTTTTTTTCTTTCCTCTTTTCTCCTAAAATTATCATAGACTTAATTGCATTTAAAGGTTATGCTTTTGCCTTTTCTACCTTTTTAATACAGTTAAGACTATTGGTAGACACAGGGAATTAAGTTCCAGAGTTTAGGTGGAAGGAGATAGTTGCAAGCATAGTAGTTGAAAATAAATTGTCATTTCAAATTTTATTCTTATAGAAAAGGCCTGTCTCTTTGAACATTAGCTATCACCCTTACCACTGAATTTAACCACAAGTGCCAGTTTGTTATAACCACTTTAGGATTTGGTTTGAGACTAGGTTCTTCCTTCTGTGCAGAAGAGATGGTTATAGTATCCTTTTCTATTCCAACCCCCCCCCCCCCCCGCAAAAGTAAACTAGTTGGGTGTTTCGTTAGGTGACTATCCATGTGGATATCATGAAAAAATACAAAATGTTTATGACTGCTTTTTATTTTCCAGTGTTCTGGACTTGGTGCCTCATTCTGCTACATGCTCTCCTATTTAGTTGGGAGACCAGTTGTGTATAAATATCTAACAGAGAAAGCAATGAAATGGTCCCAGCAGGTAAATATGTATTTCTAAATTATTTCATTTAACTCTTTGGCTAGCTGAGTGTTCAGTGTATAGCACCTAAAGTGTCCATGTTAGAAGATCACATGTGTGAGCACCTATTTTGTGTTAGTAAAGCATGTTATCATTGTGTACCAACTCTTTTAATGTATTTTACCAATGGAAATGGCTGCTACCTTTAGCCAGGATCTGCTCAGATCTGCAATGGTAAATATAAGCACTACAGTACAGTTAACAGTTTGTGTTGCTATGCTCCTATACTTGTTTTCAAAAGCCCCAGGAGAAGCTGTTTGAAAATGAACTCAGGGACACATAGTTAAGTGGCAATCTTTTGAGTACTTTTAAGTGGGATGCCCAGGGTATGAAAAAAATCTTCTGTAACAAATTGTTGTAAACTGGGTATTTTAACACAACAGAAATTTATTCTCTTCATATAGTTCTGGATTTTAAAAGTCTGAAATCAAGGTGGCATCAGGGTCATGCTGTCTCTCAAGTATCCTTTCCTCCCTCTTCTATTTTCTGGTGACTTCCTGCAATCTTTGGTGTTCCTTAGCTTGTAGTTGTATGACTCCAGTCTCGGCCACTGTCTTCACATAACCTTCCCTTCTCTATGTGAGCTCATTGACTTGATGACAAAAAAAAATGTACAGATCAAGAAAATGCTTATTAGAACTTTAATAGGTCTTTATTCAGTGTATATCATGTTGAAACAGACTGAAAAAACTTTTAGCTGAACAAATTTGTGAAGAATATATTTATATAAATACATTTTACAGTATGTACAGGAATATATTACGTCGCATTATTGGGAAAAAATTAGTTGTATTCTCTCGTTCCAAACTACACATTCTTTTAAAATGAAATCAAGTTATCTTTTTGTGATAAGGTATGGCCCAAGTTAATGGGAAGGATTGATGTAGCAATGTTGTGGATTGCCTTTTAAGTCAATTCTGATTCATAACAGCTCTATGATAGGGCAGTGTAGAGCAGGTTTTCAGGTCTTTTCTCTTGCATCAAACGTCTGATGGGTTGGTATCATTGGCCTCTTTGTTAGCCATCAAGTGCTTAACCATTGCACTACCAGCACACCTGTGGAAAATAATAGAGAAGTAGGAAAGGTAGCACGCACTATCATTTTGAAATTTAAAAATAAAATCGTATGTAACTAAATTAAAATGTTATAAAATTACATATTCTAAAATGAACATAGCATTGCTACTAGAATTTTATTTTTGTAAGGAATCAGAAGAATCATAGCCTGTTGAATCTCACAGTAAGTTTAGAGAGATCATCCTGCCTTAGCTCTTTGTTTTACAGATTAGGAAATAAAAAGGTATTAAATATTTTGCTCCAAATTACAATCATTTACTTATAAAGCAAGGTTCTAGGCTTATAGTCTAGTTTTCTTCTCACTATACCACATGTGGAGTCCTGGTATGGTGCTGTGGGTACACTAGACTGCAGTCAGTTTGAATCACAAGGTCTAATGCACTGAATATTAAAATAGGTTTATGCACTGAATATGAAAATAGTTTTATATGTATATTTATCTTTGGAATGACTTAGTTTTCTGTGACTATATTAGTTATTCAAAGGAAATATAAACTTATCAGTGTTTATATTTGATCAGCTAAATGTTTCCATTGTACCTATTTAACTTACCAGTTATTATTTTACTCATGATATATATTGTAAAACGTAAAATAAAAATTATCACTATTTTTTTTTTTTTAGCTAGATTTGTCAATGTCCTGTACTAACTAGCCTTTTACATAGTAGGGGATTTGTTGAAGGTATTAAAAAGTTGGTACTTGATGTGTATCTTACGTCTAATTAACGTATTAGTTTAATTTTGACATTTCAAGTTTAATATGTTACTGTTGAGCTATCACAACTTAAGTTCATCTAGAACCATCTTTCTTAAGATTAAGCGTAAAGCACAATTTTGAAAAACTTTCATGTTATTTAGTTCTGATAATGAACATTGAATAAATAATTCATTGTAATGTTCAAGCTCCTTTTTAAATCATTTCTCTTGGATAAATTTGGCCAGTTCTGTTGAGTGAATTATCAGGGATAAGAATTTGATATAAGGTATTTTATAATTTTAAGATTGGTCTTTTCTTAATTTAAATTCTTTTTTTTTTAAATCACAGGTTGAACGTCATAGAGAGCATCTTATTAACTATATTATATTTTTGAGGATAACGCCATTTTTGCCTAATTGGTTTATTAATATTACTTCTCCTGTGATAAATGTGCCACTGAAAGTTTTTTTTATTGGCACTTTTCTAGGTAAGACCTATTGTCCATACTCTGTTTGAGCTCATTGTGTCCTTATCTGACAACAGTAAGCAGGCTAGATTGTGTGCTCTTTGCAGATATGAAAATACCCTGGTACCAGTGCAGGGCTCAGAAGTTGTTAGAATATGTTGGTATAGGGTGTTTTGTTTTGCCTCTTTAAATAAGATCGTGTTCTACTGGATACTGTTTTAATTATGTGGAACTTTTAAGCGCTATTTTTTGTCTCACTGGAGAGAAAACACAAGAAGCCTTTTTTGAGTAATTTTTCGTTTGTCTTCTATTCAAGTGCTGGATTATTAAGCCTTAATTTGATTTTCAGTCAAAAAGTTATCTTATTTTTTTATTTGAAATCAACATTTATTTTCGGTATTACTCAACTATAGGGAAACTAAGATCTGCAAAAGGTCTTGGTTACATTTAAGGTTTGAAAGTAGTGAATTCTGATGTTTCTTTATTAAGATTATACCTTTTTAAGTTGATTTGCTTTAGACTCCAACAAAATGAACAGATTTTTCATATGTTGAGTATCTGATAAATTAAAGTTTAAATTAATCTGAACAATAAATCTTTTTGAAAAAAGTAACCAAAATCATTTATTTGTTGCTACTTATTCATTGAGAAGAACCACCTCAAAGGCACTTAACAACAACAGTTCATTGACAAAAATTATTTCAGTTTGGGTAGTTTTGGATTTTTAAAAAATACTGTCATACTGGTCGAATCAGAGGAGACTTTTGTTTCTATCTGTATTTTTCAGGTCAAATAGCTGGAGATTTGGTTAGCTTTGACAAAAGTTACTGTTTAATAAAATGTGATTGTTCTGTGTCTGCTCTTGTATGTTTCTGTTAAGTGCAGTTGAGTCTGTTACAACTCATATCAAGCCTGTAGTTTCCAAGAAGCAGCTGGTGGGTTTGAACTACCAACTTTGGTTAGTCCAGTGCTTGTCCTGCAGTGCTGTATACCAGTAGTCCATATTCTTGGATATATCCTGCTCCGTTTTGAGCATCATTCCATGTCAGTGTATCCTGTACTGAGTTATTTGTACTTTAGACTTTTTTTAATCAAGTGTCCTGGTGGGGCTGTAGACTAAGCACTGGACCACAAGGTCAGCAGTTCAAGCTCACCAGCCATTCCTTGGAAACCCTATACAGGGTCACTATGAGTCCAACTCGACACTTAACAGCAACAACAACAACAAAGCAACAATTTATTAAACATTACTTCTGAGCATTTATATTGTTTGCAGAGTTTTTATATAATGCTATATTTATTTAGACTTTTTTATTGTGACTTGAGTGAAGGTTAAAAGACAAGATCATCAGCTTAACATTCAGAAAATTATATACTTTGTTTCTTCTCAATGATTACAATCCCCTCGCTACAAGTTATCCTACTTCCTCCCTGTGCCTTCCCTTTTAGGTCTTATATTTCACAAATGAGCAAAGCAAAAATCTTTGATTGACACATACAAAACAAAAAATCTATACTCATTTAAATGTCCTAAGGGTATATTCTGCAAACCAGTCTCCTGCCTGCAGACACACAGCCTTACTCATTCCATGTGCCTAGAGCCCACAGCTGCTCTATCTTCCATGCCATCGCCTCTGCCACCAACTCGGCTGTCGCCACTTTTCTACACAGGATATCACACTACACTCATGCTATTCCTTCTTGATGGTCCTGGGATCATCTGTTCCTGAAATGAAAGATTAACTACTCCCCCCTTTTAATTACGCATCTTCGAAAATTACAGTTGTGACAATCATTATTAATCCTTTAAACAATTACTCACAAATGAATCATAAAATCCTATCAGCATCATCCCCTATCTCCTTTCACCAGATCCATCAGAAGAGAAAAACTATTCTGCCTTACCCCCCTCATTCTGAACCTAAGCACACTCATGGAAGCTTGTAAGCCAGCCACTTCGTGCCATTACAGCCTCCAATTTTAAAAGCCAATATCTAGATTGCTCATCCCTATCAACCCAGTGTACTGAGGAAACTAGCTTGTTCTTTGATATGAATAATCTTTCCATTCTGGTTGGAATTTTGAGCAACTGTATCCATAAGCAAAGGTTCAGTTCATCAAATTGTATGTAGCATTTACAGTTGCTCACAGTGTTCATCTGGTCGAGTTCTTATCAGCTAGCCACCCAAACTTGGTAAAATGGGTACTAGATGCAAGTCCTGGAGTTCATCCATGACTCCCTCCTCTTCAGACCAGCTGGCTGCTTCACTCTCAGCTCTAGCTCCCAGTGACTAAGTCGATGCCCATGAGCTTACGAGTTCACACACCTCCATAAACTTCAGACCAGCCAAGCCTTCGTCTTCTCTCTCATCTCTAGGTCAACAGGTGTCTATGGAACATGGCCAAACTCAGCCCATGTCTTCATTGCTGCATTATCCCCACTTCCACTTACAAGTAGACCCAGGTGGTCACCAACAAGCATACTAGACTGCTCACAGGTTCCCTTTGAGGTTTACTCTCAGAAGCGGGTTGTCCCTGATGAGCTGAATTTTCTTGCCTTGATGCCTCCAAAACAAACAGCCTGCTTGATATTCTAACAACCGAACAGTCTGCTTTTTTTCTGCATGTCTCTCTCTTTCTCTCTTTATTTTTATTTTTTTGGCAAAAGTCATGAAAGGTTATTTTCTTGTAGAGATTTTTCCACATGGTTCAGTGCAGTTTAGTTTTTTTTGTGTTTTTTTTTTTTTTATCTGCATCTTTTTATTATTATTATTAAGTTTTTTATTGTGTATTGAGTAAAAATTTACAGGGCAGATCATCAGTTTTATATTCAACAAATCATATACCATATTTCATTACAATGCTTATAATCCCCTCCATGTACCATCAGTTAACAGTGTTTCTCTCTGTTCACTTTAGCTCTTTTCTTTTTAAACACTCAGGCATATATAATAATTTACACCACCAAAGGGCACATTCTACAAAGTCTGCCTCCTGGCCGCCAGCTCTTAGTCTCTCTCTTCCCATGAATCTAGAGTCTTCAGCTGCTCCCTTTCTCCATGTCTGCATCTCTGCCTCCATCTCTGGTGGCACTGCTTTTCTGGATAAGGTCTCGCATTCCACTTGTGCTCTTCTCCCTTAATGATCCTAGGGTCCTTTGTTTCTGGACTGTTTAAGATTAACCACTCGGCTGTTTTTGTTACAAAACTTCTACCTCTACAATTGTGAGAGTCACAATTAGTCATGATAACAATTATTCACTATTGAAACATAAGACTCTTATCCCCCATCTCTTTCAACCAGACCCATCTAGACAAGATGAAAACTATTCAGTGGAGACTCTTTCTTTCCCCACACACTATTAAACTAAGCTCCCCCTTGAAACCTTGTAAGCCAGTCACTTCGTGCCTTTATCGCCCCCTCATTTTAGGTAGCCAATGTCTTAAGTTGCCCATCCGTATATACCCCATGTACAGAGGGGATAGCATTGATACTTGATGTGAAGAGTCTTTCCCTCTCTGTTTGTATTTAGGGTTACTACCTCCATGAAGCAGCTCTGATAGCGTAGTGGTTACGAATCAGGCTGCGAACCTCAGCGTCAGCAGTTCAAAACTACCAGCTGTTCCGTGGGAGAAGGTTGAGGCTTTTTGCTCCCGTAAAGGTTTACAGCCTCGGAAACCCTGTACAGGGTCGCTATGAGTCGGAACTGACTACACGGCACATAACAACAACACAACAACAGGTCTCACCACACTTTGGACCAACCAGCCCTTCCTCTTCTGTCATCTCCAGGTCAACAGGAGTCAATGCACCATGGTTGAACTCAGTCCATTTCTTCATTGCTGCCTTTCCCCCTCTTTCACTCACCAGTAGACCAATGTGGTCACTAGCAAGCTTACATGCCTGCTCGTGTGTTCCCTTTGAGTTTCAGTCTTAGAGGCAGGGTTGTCCTGAAGGAACTTGATTGCTTGCCTTGATGGCTTCCTGGCAAACAGCATGGTTCTTGTAGTAGCCAGTCATACTGCCATTTTGTTTTGGGTTTTTCCTGATAATCTTTCTTTGAAGATGTATCTTCTGTTGCTCTAACTGTTCCTGGCTGGTTACTTGTCCTTTCTAGTAGGGATGTCCCACCTCATAAGGTTCTGGATGGGGTTCAGGCTTCCACCTAAGGTCCTATACTCTGCAAAGGCTTTGCAAGAGGCGTAATTCATTGGGCAAGTTCTAGAACCCCTTTTAGGTATTCCAGTCAGTTATAGACTGCAGACAGGCTTACAGGTTTTCTGTAATCATGTTTCCCAACATGCCTTTCTGTCCCACTCAAGTGTCTATTTTACAATAGTAGGCAAGGAAGACCAATATTCATAAGACAGTCAAGCATCTTGGTATTATTTTCCCTCTTCAAACTATGCCATGCAAACCTGTCTCAGTGTTCCCCTATCTACTTTGCTCTTCCGCCGCCTCCCCCTTCTTGTATTACTCTCCCCTACACCTGAACTATGATGTGTCCGCCCTTATTCTGTGCTCTACCATTATCTTCCTCCACCTCCACCTCCACCTAAACCCCCCACCCCAACCCCACTGTTGTGGTTACCTTATAGTCCATTGACTTTTCCCTCCATTTAAGACAGTCTATTTTATCCTATAATCTACATGACCTTCTTACTACCTAGATCTCTGTTCCTCTGTGTTTACCTTCTTTCACATTGTAATTGTTTTGATCATAGACTAACCTCCCAGATCCATGGAATTTGTTCTTACAGTTTTATTCTGTTCTCAACTCTTCTATTTGTTGATGAAGTTCTGGGTGATGCTGCCACGTATGTAAATCTCTGAGCACCTTGGATTAGAAAGCGCTGGATTTCTTGTTTCCGCTACAAACTCCACTGGCTGTAAGCCTTCCAACTTTCTCAATATTTCTTTAGATGTGGTTCAGAGTTCTGGGACTATCCCCTGAGCCTGCTTGGTCTAGTATTCTGTGTTGTGGCTGATGGAGCTTCTCACTGCACTTCTACCTGCCTGCCATCTTGTTTGTTCTTCTCTCTGCATGTCTCTTTTAATAAGATTCTAATGTGCACCCAGCAGTTCTGGTTTGGTTTGCATGTCTTTTCAAGTGGCAGTGTATCAACTCACAGGTTTCTGGGTGGAGTTCAGGATTCCACCTAAGGTCCCGTACTCTTCAAAAGCTTAACAAGAAGCCTATTTCCCTTGGCAAATTCTAATTCCCCTTTTAGCAAATCCAATCAGTTATAGGGCTAAAGACAGACTTAGAAACTTTTCTTTAATTATAATTCCCAACATTCATTTCTATCACACTTAAATGTTTATTTTATAATAGTAGGCAGGAAACACCAATATCTACATGACAGTCAAACAACCTAAACATGTTTTCCACCTTTTTTACCCATTCAGACTATGTCTCAATCCCTGTATCACAGAACACTGTGTGTTCCAAGGTTGTGTATAAGTTACTACTTAACCTCTACCCTCCCTAAGTTGTCCCCATCTTCATTGTTCTTATGCTTCCTCTTCTTGCCTGTTGCCCTCTCCCTCCTTGTATATTGCCCTCCCCATCACCTGAGCTTACATATGTCTATCCTCTAACCTGTGAAATACTATCTACTCCCTCCCACCCTTATTTACATAATGCTTTGATGATCATCCTTCAAACTAGAACTTTGCTCATATACACCACTCTTTCCTAAAGTTGAAATTAACTGATCAATACACATTTCTTTTATTTAAAAACTGTTGAAAATACTGTACAGTTATTTTCTTGAGTTTTAAAATTCATTATCCTTTAGATTTTCTTGTATTACTTAAATATTTTATGATTTTTTTTTTTCAAAATGGAACTAGCTGTATTCTTTAAGTTTTATGCACACACAAAAATGTATAGATAGAAACCAATGATTTTAATGTGATTTTCATTTTTTATTTCAGGGGTCGCACCTCCCTCTTTTATAGCTATCAAAGCAGGAACAACACTATACCAGCTCACAACAGCGGGGGAGGCTGTTTCCTGGAACTCAGTGTTTGTTCTGATGATTTTGGCTGTTCTTTCCATCCTGCCAGCCATTTTCCACAAAAAACTAAAGCAGAAATTTGAGTAAAAAAAGTCGTCTGGGTATTCGTTTTTCCACCACTATCATCCTCTTCATCATCATCTCAATATTAGCAGGCATATCCATTTATATTTTAAAATCACCTCTTAAACAATTGAAAGGATAAATTTATAAAATAAAAATTTCACTTGAACAGTTAAAATAATGTATTTAAGTGCCAGAGAAAGAAATGATACCCCTATGACAAGTGCTCTCAGTGGTTATGGTGAGCATCTTCTCAATCACTATATAAAGGGGAGCTGCAGGTCAGTACCAGCAGCATGGTAGGAAATTCTTGATCCAACTGGTTGATTTCGTTTATTATATTTCATTAGCCATACATAGTCATGATTTGATCATTTAAGGCTGTTTTTTTTCTCTTGTACTTCATTAATAATTAAAATTAATATACAAAAAACAGATTCTGAATTCTTAAAATATATGTAGTTCTGGCTAAGATCAACCTTCTTTCATAGACTTTCAAGTTTAAAATAGATTTACATTTTTCTTCTTCGTTTTACATTTGAGGTACTTTGTTTAGATCTTGCATCTTAGTGAACCACTGAACATGGGAAAGATATCAAGTTACATCTATTTTGTGAATTTTTTCAGTTCTAGATTTTTATCATGGATTAGTTTCAGATTTATAATTCTGACTAGTCTGTTTTCATCCAGCTTTCACAATATTTCCACTGTGCATATACAAAATGGAGATGATACAATAACTATTATATTTGATGTTAATAATTTATATTCAGATAATATTTTGTTATAGAGCTCTCCTTTGCTAGCTCAGAAGGGGATCTAAAAGACATCAGTCTTATGTGTTAGTTGTACAACTTTATATTTTGAAACAGAAACTTAATGATAACATAGTTTTTTTCTTAAGTGGTTAAATATAGTAAATTGTTTGATCCCATGACTGTAAATTTTACCTCATTTATTTATTAGTTTGCCTATTATGGTATGTATTATGTGCTGTCCTTTTATGCATGATGTTCCTAAAAGAATTCATAGTTTCATTTCTCTTGACGTTTTTTGGAAGCGGGGCTGCTTTTGACAATGCAGCTTCCCAATTTAGTGTTTTCACCTTTTCTAATTCACAAAGTAAAATTAACTACTCACATGGTAACTAATACATATAAATAGTCCTAGAAAGTCCTAAATAGCTTTTTTTCTTTTTTGCTGCTTAATGATCATGTCCTTGATTCCATGATTCTAGGACATCATCAATCTAAATTCTGTCTGTTTTACCTTTACTGAAGCTTGTTACTATGTTGAAAAGTACTTTAGCTATGGGGAAAAACCTTGTATGTTTTTATTGTGTATGATCATCCTCAAAGCCTGTTTCTATGACATAGTGTCTATTGATTCATTATTTTTTCTATCACAGTATTAACAAATGGATTTATTGTAAATACAAAGAAAATATATTGATTAATATACTATTCTTATGTCACCTGGTCTTTTGTGTTGACTTATTTATTATTTCTTGCAAGGTTTTTTTTTCTTAGTATAAAGCCTCTGTTATTTTTACAAATGACCCAAAAACATACCCTTTTTGGACAAAATGCACTAAATACCATGTAAAATGTAATTAAAATTTCTATCAGACTTTAAAAAAATAAAAGTAAAAGCTTGGACTTGGAAGAAACCTCACTGTTTACTCTTTTGTGTGTGTGTTGTGCCTCCTCTCTTCTCAGTTTTTCCCCTATCTTTCTTATTGCCTGTTTCTTTTTGCTGCTTTATTTTTCTTTATTAGAAACCTAAGCTGCCACTTTGTTGTTGTTGTTAAGTGCCATTGAGTTGATTCCGATTTAGAGCAACTCTGTATAGGAGCTACTGGTGGGTTTGAACCACCAGCCTTAAAGTTCAAATCAGCCTTGTAGTCCAGTGCTTATCTTATAGCGCCACACCAGGACTCCACTGTAGGTGGTATATTTTATTTCCCCACTAGAGAATATCCCATCTTTTCAGATTCTTCTTGAATGACTGTCAATAAAGAGTTCTCCCCAAGGCTATACCCTAAGTACAGCTGCTAACCTGTAATTACAGAATCACAGTATTGGCCTGGAGCCAAATCTAAAGCTAATCCTCAATCAGTTTAGGAAATTACATAATAAATAACAGCAATTGTGTATATGAAGGGATTTGAAAAAGTTTGTGGAAAAATTGCATTATCTTTTAACTATTAACTTTTTTTTTTCAA